TCGTAACAGTCTTATAATGATGATACAAGGTCGCAGTAGGGGCTGTTCAAAGGGATTCATCCTCCGTCCTTCTCAGCACTAGGTAGTCCTACTGGTATGGGGTACTAAACCAAGAATATCCGCAAAAGGGTTGGGTTGGGGGTTGTGCGAAACCTGTTTAGCCGTTGCGGGCTTTGTCGCGCTCGAGTACAGCCAGTTTCCTTTTCCCACTGTTTGCTTTATGGCCTGGTTTTCCGAAGCAGAAGGTGTTCCATCCGTCTATAAACGTTGCAATAAGAGGCGCTTAAACAAGTAGGGAAACTCAGACGTTCGGGATCTCCTAGCCCTGATGCTTAAATTGCCCGGTTTGTTCCTGCTGTGCAGTGAAGCAGAGTGTATGCCAGGAGGCGAGAATATACTTCGGCCTCTGGGGGCCTTGCAGCGTGATCGCCCCAGACGATTGGATCTTCGCAGAGTATATGCACGGAAGATGGTTCAGGGGGAAGGGATTCATTAGTCTTGGGGATTTTTGTTTTGGCAGATCACGGTGACAAGCAACCTTACAGATGGCTGCCATCCACAACTTGCTAGGGGTAAGAGGAGTGAAGGAATGAATGCAGGTAGCATTCTTGGGGTGGATGCAGGGAGTACGTAGGCTTATCCTCCCAAGGCCGTCCTACAGCGGCACCTTCGGGGCCCGCTTCAGCTCGAAGCTGACACCCCAGGAGAAGGCCAAGTCCAAGCCTCATGTGAGCGGGTTGGGGGGCTTAGGAGTGTTTATGAGGGTATGTTGGGTTTAGGGCTTAGGGTGCTGGTAGGGTATAAGGAGTTAGATGGGGGTATGTAGGGTCATACGAGATGATGGAGGATCAGCGGGACAAGAAAATGGGACATGAAATGGAAGATGATACAGGTCTTGTAGTGGTGGATTGTTTGTGTTGGGTTTGGGCTTTACTGTCACGAGTATGATTCAACATCGCGTTCAGGTTGGACCTTTTGTCACACAACATGTGCATGAGCGTTTTGGACATGTTGATGGTGTCGCCGGGGTTTAGAAAGGGCAGTATAAGGATGATGGGTTCAAGGTCATTAAGTTATGCAGCATTCTACAGGGACTGCATCTGAGTGGACTGCTCAGGGTGCGGGGTGTGGGATCGGGATTGAGGTGTAGGGTTAATGCAGAAGCTTCAAAGGCTGAACTTTGGGGTTGTGGCATGTGTGTGTAAGGCTCCAAGGGCCAAGGGGCTAGAACCTCGTTTTGACTAGCCCGAGTCACATAGGGAGGATACCCTGATCCCTAGATCCTAGACGGAGAAATCATCATCATTTCAATCGTTCGTGTGCAGCTGGGTTCGCAACTATGCCAGCGCCTGTGGCATCAGAAGCCCTCAATGCTAAACTGAAGCTACTGTAGCAGACAATTGCTTGGAGGTTCATGGGTATTCATAAGAGAACTATTCATGCCCAACAATGCTTTTACCAGTTGTAATTGATTGTAGTCATCTTTCTGGTTATGAGGTTGCTGGAGCTAAATGAGGCCCCGTGGACGTTGCATTCGATTTCTTGTGTATGGCCCCCGAATCCTTAGCCTTTAGCCCTGCAGCCTATCATTAACTTTAAGTAAGGCTGCAAACAGAACCCTGAACTCCATAGACCCATGAGTTTTGATATGGTATGACATAGCATTGATGCTTGGGTTTCCCTCCCACTTCAGACCCCCTACGCTGCCCTGAGCCCTAGACCCTAAGTTCCTTAACCGCTGCACCTGAAGCTCACATGAGGTTTCTAATTTTTATTGTCTTTTTGCTATATTGGCTCCGCGTTTTTGGAAGCCCACACGTGATCGTTGCAGGAGATCATCGATGTCGCTTTTGAGTCCTTCAAAGATGAGCAACTCGGCGTTGTGACGGAGAGCTTTCTGCTCGCAGGGGAGCAATTACGTACTTGATGCCTGCATGATAGAAAGCTCAACGCAGTGGGTATGAGATCCCATTTCTTGTGATAGGACTTGGCCACCCAAACCCCACATGCTTTATGAGAGGTTCTGTAATTGCGTATATATCCTCAGGTGACATGTATTCGAGAAATTCAACCGTCAAACTCCAAGGACCCCGTTTCTACTGCAGCAAGAGCTCAACTTAAGCCTTTTTGGGTGTCCAGCTCTCGAGTCCCAGAGTTTTGTTATCATAGCAGCCAACCCATACGGACCTTGAGACATAAATCTTGAAAATCACGTAAACACAAAGCTGAAGGTCGGGCTACATCACCACGGAGAGGCCAGCTCCTGAGTTGACGTTGTTGCTGCTGAAGGGGAGTGCGAGCGTGGTGAAACTATGTCCTGAGCCTCATGCTCCAAATCCTACGCCCCAGATTTGCAATGTGTAAAGGATCTGAAGCAAACCCGGTTGGCTTTCATTGAGCACCAAGGCGTTGCACTTCAGACGTTTCTCAATGTAATCGTGTTACAGGATTTGTATTTAGTTAGGGATTTGGGTGTTTCAGGTGGACAGGCTAAGAAGCCTGAAGCACTGCGGGCTTGACCCTTCCACCAGCAGATTAGAGATCTCTGACTTTGATGGTTTGCCTTAGAAGTCAGAAGAACTTGTATAGTTCTGACTTCGTTCAAGTCCCTGACCAGAAAGGCTAGACCCACGAAACCCTAAGCCCTAAGCCTCTTCACCCTGGCAGGATGCCCCTCCTTCACCTCTTTCAGCCCTAAACCCGCGGAACTCCGAGCCTGAATCCTTAAACTTGATCTAAGGCTCAAGGAAGCCTTTGAGGCTATTGATCAGCTGGGGGACATCAGTGCGAAGCCTGGATCGTTTGCTTTCCTCAGGGGAGTGGGTGAGGAAATGTATTTGGTAGAAGGGACCACAGAAGTAGGGTTTCGAGGTTTCGATGTTTAGAGCTCAGGGATTCAGGGCCTGGGTTTTGGCTTTGAGGACTTACCTTCCTGCAAACTAAGATCACTATCCTCATGAAGGGGGGCTACGCGAGGTTCCTATTAGTTTCGGGGAGTGTAAGGAGGGGGGTTGAGGGCTGGGAATCTGAGCTGAGGGGGGGCTTGGGCGGTTTAGGGCTTGGAGTTTCGAGTTGGGGATAGAATCGTGGGGGGTTTAGGGCAGAATGGAATGTTGAGGGCTTTAGGGAGACTGTAAGGATGCTTAGGACTGTCAGTGTACGTAGGGTAAACTCTGCAAAGGTCACCTTTCAGGTAGAATTTGGCTTTTCATGCACCATTATCTTTTTTCAGGATCGGTTGGTCATTTGGGTCATTGTGATAAGGATCATATTCTTTAGGGGATATTATGCAGACCCCAACTTTTGAGAAACCTTTCCTGGGTGTCAGTGATGTGCCAGGACGCGGTCTGCGGAGGCAAATCACACAGACGGGTTCTCAAAATCATGGATATACGTCATATGCCATCCCAAAAACCCACATGGAGCCGTGTAAAGCCACCTTGGAAGAAGAACGTCGTCTCTATACATACCTTGAGCCTTGTTTGAGATACAGCATGGGGATTTTGGTTCCTCAAACCCTCAGAACCAGTACCCTAGAAGAGTCATTGGGTCCTTCTGTCGGAGGTTTCGTCACCTACCACCTAACCTTGTCTAACTAAACCCTAAACCCCAAATTTTAATCAGTCAGCAGGTCTGCGTCCTTCGAGCATCATGATTCTGGTGGTTTCGCATATCTCGCATGACCCTTGAAAACCGCTCCACCGTACACACATATATATATACATATATACGCACACATAAACCACATTCGGTCTGAAGGGTGAGGGCAGTATCTAGCCCAGAAGCGAAAGAACTCCCTCCAAAGCATGATTCATCACGGTCTTTTTTTGCAGCATGTGTGTGTTTCCAAATTGTCTACTTAAGACACGAAATTTTGACAGTCTAGCAAGTTATGTATATGGTGAAGATTGACTCTGGCTCATGTGGTTCTCGTGGGAACAGTCATCAAACTCTTGAATTAGCAATGGGAGAAGCTGGACCAGGATTGCCTGAGCTTCGTGCTGCCTCATTTGAAATACCTGCCTTGGCAATATTTTTTCAGAGCAAAATCATGTGAATGCTCAATTGTCCTTGTAACCCCCTATGTAAACCCGATTTCCATTGCATTTTGCATTTTCTTGTCCATGTGCTTCTCCATTATTGTGGGTGATGTCCCTATAAAACGTATTCAGCATTCAATTGCATTTTGCTATGCAAGCGCATGGTCCTGGTTTGGTTTGACAAGGTGACATTCAGATGCTCCTGGACCTGCGCTCAGCTTTGGTACATGAGTCGAGTAGTATGTCAAACAGGGCAACTGTAGTCCCACACGCAGTAGACATCTTTTTGTTGTGTATAGTACATCAAAAGAAGCATATAATGTAATTTGGTTCAACCACCAAGAACCTTCTCCACATGGAAATTTCTCCGAGTAATTCCTGTGCAGTCCTTGATAGGGGCCAGGAATCCCCTTTAAGTCTACAACGTTTAAGCGCCGGCTGTTTTTTGGAGAAAATCCCATCATAAAGTCATAAAGTCCCTGACTCGAGCTGTCTGCGTTTTGGATTTATGGAAGCCTGGTTGTCTGCATGGGCTTCAAGAAGTGTCCCGTGCTGAGCCCTGAGCCCTAAAACCTTAAATCCAAACCCAAAACCCCAGACCCTAAACCCAGACCTTCGCATGAGGGAGGAATTCTCATCTTTGGTTCCTTGGCCCAGGACAGCATCGACCAAGATGGCGATGGTAAGATCGACGAGGATGAGTCACCGGTCCCAGATGATCTTTGCGCTCAGAGTCTGAGCTTGCAGCCTGAAGGCATGCATGCTAAACCTTGCTAAGTTGTGACCGCGCTGGCGCTTCGTGCCTACAAGGTCTTTGCTTGAATATCAGCTGGTACTTCAGCTCACCTGCTATCTTCTGCATGTGTGGCTGGCTGGGCATGGAAGACTGTCAAAGACCCTGACGTGAATCCATAGCCATTTGTGCAGGCACTGTAGAGAATTGTTTTTCCTCGAGCTGCAATGCTGCGACGTGCTCTCGTGCTCATCTTCGGGTCCTTGCTTCCTGCAAGGGCAGCGCAATGTCCGCCCGATGCTGCGCCATTCACGGCGCCCAGCGCCATCTCCGATGCGGAGCAGTTGAAGTATGCCGACCTCTTCACTGTCGTCTACCACCCCACCTACAAGGTCATCAAGTACAACCCAACGCAGGGGAAGTTCCAGAGTGGGTGGCCGAATCCAAGTCTACGAAACCAGAGGATCCCAGATCTGGTGTTGTATCAGAGCCTTGAATACAGACCAGCATTTGCCTTTCGCAGTCACCTGCCAGAGGTCACAGGGTCAAGAGTTCCGGACTTCACCTAGTGTTGTCACCAACAAGCATCAGTAGCCGCGGGCGCACACTCACAACACACACGGGTGCGGCCGTCACTCCCCCAAAAGGTTTCAATCTACGAAGCCTGTGTGTGTTTCTGAAGCACAGCATCTTCCTGAATGTCCCCAAAATGAATCTGGTCCTACTACAGGAACCTTAAGAAGGCAGGCATGTCTTGCCAAGTTTGCACTAGACTACCTGGAGACTATAAGCCTTGACGTTTCCGCGTCTCTGCATGGGATTGAATCCTGCATCACCGGCATTGCTCTTGGGATGTGAGGAAGATGATTTTGTTGCATAGAGCAGTACAAGAGAGAATGGAGGTTCCTGCTTGTTCTGTGTGACTTGCACAGCTGCATGACTCATGTGGTAGGTTGTCCAAAGTGTGGTTCCTTGTTGTGTTTCCCTCGTAAGACTGCCCTACACAAAGGGCACCCGAAAAGGGTGGCGTCAACAACTCCCCTGTACCAAAAGTTGGTGACTCAAGGCTTGAATTTGACGTGTGGACACGAGGTGCGGCACAACGCAGCCGACAAGCTCCTACAACGACGTTCCTTACCCGTCCGCTGGATAAGCTTTCACCTTTCACCTGGCCACATAGAAGCCCATAGAAACCAGCACCCTAGAGTGTCTTTGAAAATAATGGTACCTTTACATACGAAGCCAGCAAGCCCTGAACCCCATGACTCTGAGCCCTACAGGCTCTAAACACCCAAGGTTTCCGATGATGCCTGGTTCTTCTCCGTCCCGATCGACAAAGCGGCACTGCCTTGGACTGGTTCTCTACACTTCTTCGAGCTGCTGTCAGTAACAGAGGCCCAGATTAGGGTTTACGTGCTAGTGATGGCAGGGTTGAGGGGTACTTGTAAGCTCTGCCTTTGTTTCCCTGTTATCTTCTTGAAAGTGTCCTTGTCAGGGGATCTGCGGGAAACTTGGGCAAGCTTACTCTTCCAAAGAAAGCAAACATGGACCTCCCTGTCCTCGTAAAACAAGAGGGGCACCAAGTGGGATTCCATTGCGCTATTTGAGACCGCACCCTGGGTGGTGGTTTGCAAAGACAAATTTCGAAAGGTACATCAGGTTTTAGACTAATACAATTTGACCGGAGGCCATCAATGCCATTGACATGACCTACATCTCCTCGCCTTGTGCGCAGTTGCTCGAAGAATGCACCCCTGGAATTCATGCGGCGAACTCAGGGGCTGCATGGCAGACCGCAGCCCAGAATTCTGAGGCAGTCTTCACAGATTCCTGGGGGACTGGAGCCAGCAATACCACCAGGGACGTGGTCTTCGACGTGTCTCGGGACGCGGGCATCCTGCCACGAGCGGAGTGGATCAAGTTTCTGGCCTTGTTCTTCAACCTTGAGGTTGCTGCAGGTCAAGCTTTTTCCAAAATTGAATCGGACTACCTGTCCTTGCGAGCTGAAGGAACTCGGCTCCAGGAGGCCGCAGCCACAACCCCCAATGTGGCATGGGTTGCCTGGCAGGGCTGTGCAGATGCGGCTTGCGATGGGGTTGCAGCGGGCCAGTGGCGCCAGAAGGCAGATGGCAATTGGTGTCGCTGTGGCTCTGCTTACTTGATCTACAACTCACACTTCCGCAGGGACATCACCCAGGATGCCGGGGCACGGTTGCTCACGATGCCCGCGCAAGAAGGGCCGGGCTGTAGGTTCCTGACAAATTCGGATGGATCTCAGACATACGAGTGTCAGAGTGAAGGCCTGGATCACTACTTGCAGCTGCTCGCGCAGGCGGATATGATCGTTGATGAGACATATGTGGTAAACCACGGACCGTACACCCTGGATGATTTCGTGGGGACCTTCGCCAGTCCAAATCTCACAGATCTCAGTATGCAGGCCAAGCTGAATTCGGCGGTGTATCGCATAGATGGGTCCGTCAGTGACGCTAGGGACACCGGAGGCCAGGTCGGAAGCAACTGGTTTGAGGCCATGCCTGTGCAGCCGCAGCAACTTCTCAGTGATGTCATGCATGCCGTTTGGCGTGAAGCTTTCAATGGCCCCTGCTCGCTGACGTACCTGAGGAACCTCTATGCTGCGCAGGCTCGTGATCCACTTGAGCATTCAGACTGTCCTTTGTATGACGCAGCCGGTACCCATGACTGTGCCGGGATTCACGACTATGAGCACCAAATTCACCAGTGCGCCATTCCCCCTCAAGTGGGTGACAGCAGCGACGGAGACAACACCCTAGCGCTAGGGTTGGGCCTAGGATTGGGGATTCCCGCAACTGGGTCAGGGTCATTGTCGACAACGATTCTTTTGTTTTGTCTAATGTTAGAGCCCAGTAAGGAATAAGAATTAGATGTTTCTCAGAATGACCCAAAACGGAACCAGGTGATCCTGCTGGCCGCTGGAGCAGTTGGATATTGCTACTGCAAGTCCAGCAAGAAGGGAGCTGCCCAATCCCCTACGTCCCCTCCAAGCAGTGGAGGTGGAAGCTCTGTCGGAATTCACCACAACTACAGCATGTTAAGGTTTTTTGGGCTCCTCTGGTTCCTTTGGTTCAGATACAGGGAGCCAAAAGTTCAACCTTCCGTGGTGGAGTAATGAGATTTAAAGAGCAACCAAGGAGCCTTTGTGGTAGGCACTCCAGTGGACCCGGCGACGGGTGAGAAGGTCTAAGACTGTCCCAGAAAGTCGAGGGCGTAGCGGAGAAGTCGTGTCCTTCATGAACATCATAGGACTTTTGCGACATCAGACCGTGATTTTACTTGAGCTGTGCTGAGCTGTGCCCAGTCTTGACCGCTTAGCGGCAAGCACTGCAAGGCAGAGCGCAGTGACGCAGTGTTCGAGACCGTATGGGTTTACCAGCTTGCCAGTACTATCTACTGAACAAGTGATGAAAAATCCCGAAGCCTACTTTTGTTTCGTTATGTTGCCGCTCTTGCCCGAGTTTCGGACACGAAGTTTGCAAGTTTTCAAACCAATAAGTTTGGTGCTCCTGGCGTGCACAGATACTCAGCATCAAGCGGTGAGTTCTATTTGGAAGCTCGAATGCATAGCCACGTTCCTATAGGTGTAGAGAGCGTAATACCTCTAACGTATAACTTACACTGCACCCGAAAGCCTTATTCGAATTCTAGAGGCATGGCAAGTATATCAATTTTCAGGTTTCAGGGTCGTTGGGTTTGTGAGATTTTGGTGGCTTATGTAGGTTTAGCCGTCCACTGCGGAACCAAATCAATCGGCATCTTCGAGCGCAACCAACCCACTGCTTGATAGTTGAAGCCAGCAGCGTAGCCGGATCCCATCATGGCTTTTTGCCGAGCCATATCCAACACTTGCCTCCAAGCGGCTGTAGGCCACTTGCTGGCACGAGGGGTGTAATTTTTCTCAAACGTGCTGCTTGCCAAGTCTTTTGGCACGTTTTGGCTTTTAAGCGTCGACGGAATGGATCGGAATGAATCACCTGTGATTTTGCCTGTGACTGGATGGTCAGTGTCGCTCCCCCTGAATCACTCAGGACATTGACTTGGCACTGGCCTGACCAGGCGTTTCTCAAGATTTGCAGCTCCTGTGTGTGAGGGGTGTATTTTTGAGAACGACCCTCGTGTTTTTGGAAGTAGAGACCATTGTGAATCTGATCCGCAATTTCAACGAGAGGTCCGAATTTTGAGAGACGCAGCCAACCTGTGTGCAGCCACACAGCAATGTCAGGCGGGAAAACATGCAGAAGTGTCTGGGAGCTTCTCAAGATGTTCCCGATGCATCAGTTGCCCTATACAACTGCCCAAACCATATATGTTCCCGAATCAAGTCTACCCCCATTTTGAGAAGCCGCCGTTTATGCCCGAATGTCACGATGGACTGTGAGTTTATAACCTACAGTATAACTAGAACCCTGTGATGCTTGTTTAAATTCTGCCAGGTGGATTGTGGATACTAGAGTACTTTGTCAAACTGGGATTCCCCCTTCAGGAGAATCTTTCCATGTGGAGCTTGTGCATCCTTCAAACCCAAAGTCGCTTTGAAGCTTGAAGCCGAGACGTTTATGCGCTGGACTGCCTGAGGTTCCGTCACATCATGACGCGGAAGTTCCTGGGCGAAGACGATGACTCTTCCTTCGCTGCGGCCTCAGGCGCCAAGAAGGAGATCCAGACTTGGGAGCTTTGGTTGGTTGTAGGTCAGCCCTCGGGTCTGGGACGACGAATTACCTAGGATGGGGCCCCGTGTTTTTTTTTCCTAGGTGTGGCTGAGAGGCTCTGGTCAGCCACGCTCTCCTTTCCTTTTGTTTAGAAGGGAAACGGTCGGTCGGTCGGTCGGTCGGTCGGTCGGTCGGTCGGCCGGCGCGTAGAGCGTCCTCGAAATTCTGGACGTA